TTAAGATTTAAAATAATTAAAGAGTTACATACTTAGGTTAAGATCTGCACTTTATACACAATTAATATTTTATATTTATTATTTATTTTATATTTTTCTGCATATTATAAATAATAAAATAATAAATATATATTCAATAACTAAGAAATCAGTTACTATTATGTAATAAATTGGCGTATGCATATAAATTTAACTATTACTCTTGTTTATTCACAATTAGGGTAAATAAATCAAAATAATCAATCTTATATATTGTATATGATATATAATTAAATTAAATGATATAAACATAGTAATGTAGCACACTTTTAATATGGATATTTATTAAATGAAGTTTCTACTCATATGATTTTATGATTATTTGCATATTTGTGTAACAAAACTTTACACCAACGAATTTTTTTTAATGTGAGATGTTTAGTAGTTTCAATAAATTATAATAATTTTAAAAAAACAATGACATATTTGAAAATTAAAATATTAGCTTTTCAATATATGTTCAAGGAAAATATCAAAATATAAGTATGTATTTTCATACGATGTATAGTTTAATTAAAATGATATGAAATATATATAAACTAAAATTATTTCTTCATATGGTCCTATAATCATTATATTTAGTATACAAAAAATTAAAACCTTGATCTTAAAAGTTTATGTGGGACTTTTAACAGTTTTAGTAATTTATACTCATTTTGAAAAATTCGAAATACAACATACACAAAAAAAATCTAGATTTTTATTATATGATTAATATAATTGTGTAATTTATTTTAATAATAAAGAAATAAACAAAATGAAAAAAAGTATATAGATTGTTATCAAATCTTTATTGCTTAAAATCATTAATTGTCATATATATATTTTAACCACATTAGGTAATTCCGTAAGTTTTATTTAAGGAAAGTATGCGAAACAATAAATATTTGATATATGCGACCAATTATAGCATACAGAACGTTATATTGCTAGAGAATATAATTTTTAAACTATACATTATATTACATGCTCTAGAATCCTTGGGATTTGAAATATAAGCCAAAGAGCTATACCACGTATGATTGGGGTTATTTTTAATTCTTACAAACTTAAGGTTACAATTTTTTAAATGATTCTAAAATAATATATAGGGGATTTAGATATAAAATTAAACCCTTCTTCTAATAAACTTTTTGAATATGCTACTAGAAAACTAGAGAAAGTAATTTGTGTAAAATGTCAAGTTGGGAAGATAAAATAAATGAAGAATTTAATAGTGAAAATTAGGTGAAAGCATATACTATAGATTTGGTCAAAGAAGACCCTTGTCCTTCAAAAACGACGCCAGAGACTGAGAGTAAGCACCATCACTGGTTTTCTCTCAGTATAGATGTGATTAAGCTGCTGCTCACTGGCATAGACCACCCAGAATCCAATATTAACCCATGATATTGTTGTGTTTCAAAAAAAAAAAAAAAACCCATTATATTGTTGAAATTTCATTTACCGTATATTTATAATTAACTAGTCACCTTTTTTTTTATCAAAGCTACTCACCTTTTTAATTTATTTTTATATAAACTTATAAAAGAATCGAACACCAAATCAGGAACTCCTAGTTGAATAGTTCACAGAAAATGCAAGTTCCAAACTGAGACATCGTCTAAAAGAGGAAGCCATAGATATGCAGAAACGAAGAAGATTCAGTAATCCCAATTGGTTTCATTCACTCTTATTAGATTCTTTCCTCAAATCTTGATTCGTACGGACACCTTTTTCTTATATAATTTCACGAATGCTATATAATATATATAAAAAAACTTTAAAATTTTGAAAAAATGAATGCATTCAGAGTGGAGTTCAGACTAATCATAATGAATGCTCTTTAGATTCAGCACATGATAGGACACAGAGGTCGAGCCACCCCACGTGGAACATAATGACAAAAAAATCCATCCAACTTAGTTTTTTAAACACTTTTTATTTAGGGAAAATGCATCCAATAACATTAAGGCTTCCAATAGTAAAAGCAGATCAAGCGGTGCAGATCAAGCAGTTCATGTAGATCAAGCATGATAAATGCAGATCAAGCAGGACAAGAGCAGATCAAGCGGATCATGCAGGAGAAATGCAGATCAAACAATTTATTATATATTATGAATGCCAAAATCATTTCAAAACTATAAACCATATATTTAAAAAGTAAAAAGTTATACTAAAATATCAAAATAAATATCTTATATGTTGTAAGATCAGCCGAAATGTTAATTGAATTTTTCATAAGATGCTCGTACTTTTTTTTTATTTCTGTTTTAGTTGAACAAAATTATCTTTGAAGAACTAGCATGTTAATAATATTAAACTATTTGTTGATATTTATATAGAAAGATTTATCTCTTTTTTGTTGAAAAATATTGTACAGCTTAATAAAATACTCATTTTATGTAGGAAAATTATATATTTTTCTTTGGAAAATGTTGAATGTCATATTTATAGTTTTAAAATGACAAAAATAATATTGGTGTGAACTATATAGTTTGAGTTAATCTTTGTACATTATTTATAAAATCAGATAAATATATTTAAAGTTAGTGTTTATAGTAAAATCATTTATTAGTGAAAAAAGCAGATCAACATCTACAAATGTTAGCGGGTGAGATCTGCATGCAGATCTCCTGTTTTTTTCACAAAAATACATAAAATATTGAACTGCATGCAGATCTTCTGCTTGAACTGCTTTTAGAAACAGAAAATGATGAATGGCAAAAGCAGTGAAGGAGAACTGCATGAGCGGGAGATCTGCATTTGTTCTGCCTTTCCATTCATAACCTAAGTGTATGAATGGAAGGCAGATAAAAAGCAGTTCTACTGCATCAGTATACAATCTGCAATTTATTTGCCATTCACATTTTTTTAAGTTTAGAAAGAGAAAAGCAGGAGAAATGCATTTTTTTGTCATTTTCTGCAGAAAAGCAGTTCATCTGTCTGCAGTTTGAACCACTCATATTTTGATGCTGTTCATTTGTTTCACTTCCCATTTAACCAATATTTATTTTAAAAAATAAATTAATTCCGAAAATATTAAATTATTATCTATATATATAATTATTTATTAGTTCTATATTTCTAAAAGGGGTCTTGTGTTTTGATATAGGGTTGGATTATTGTACTGAAATTTATATAATATATAATTATAACTGTAAAATAAAATAGATTTTAATTCATACATATTAAAAACAAAGATTATATATTAATAATTTCATAAAACTAAATTTAGTATAAAAATATTTATATAATTAGTGTAAAACAGAAGTAAAAGTAAATATATCCCATATATATATATATATGAACAAATTTATTTAAAAACAGTATGCTATAAGTATTACTAATTTATTAATAATTAGTAAAAATTCAAATGATTTTGTATTAATCAACTAATTAATGACACCAAAATTTTTTCCTAACAACTTTTGTGTATATATATATATAATTATGAATGTAATTATTATTAATATTACATATATTTATTGATAAATCAAAATAATTCATTAAGTTATTTTTCTTTTGTTTGTGTATTGTTTATGTATAATGTGTTTGATATTTTGATGTTATTTTTATATTTAAACATGTGATTTACAGTATTGAACCGTTTTTGCCATTCATAATTATAATAAATTAGTTGATCCGCTTGATCTGCATCTCTCCTGCGTGATCCGCTTGATCTGCTTGATCTGCACCGCTTGAATCGCTTTTACCATTCGAAACCTAAAAAAAACCAAAATTGATTAAGTAACCAAAAAGACACTCTCTCTCCCCTTCTGTGTTCCTATCTCTCTCTACCATCTCTCTAGAAAACTAATTTTGCTTTTTTTTAGGTTATTCAACAAATAAGCTCTTTTATTTATGGGAAGTTTACTAAAATGACTCAAATTAATCGAGTAATTACTAGAATAACTCATAAAAGTTTTAAATTACTAACTTTTTTTTAATGTCGAAACTGTCCTTGCTTACAGTTATGACCAAAAGGTAATATTACAAAAAGGCCATTGAAATTTTTGAAAAAATCATCGACGGCAGATTTATTTACGAAAAATAAATCTATCGATATATAAATCTACTAATTTAAACTGTTGTTCAATTTAAATCGGCCAAATATTTGGTGGCAGACTTTTGATTCACGGCAAATAGTTTTGAGGTGGCTGATTTGTTTGGCAGATTTATGGTTGTCAACCGATTTATATGTTTTAGTCTGTCGAATGATGTAACCGATTTTTGAAAATTTTCAGTTTTATTTTGGATCAGTTAGATTTTTACGACCAATTTAAAAATTACGCAAAACCGACTTTTAATGGGTACTAGACATAAATATTAGTGACAGATTTGTTTAACCGATTTATTTTTGTAGTCGATTTTTATATTCATATGGTGGCAGATTTTTTAAATTTTCATCTTTGACGGTACTTGTAGATTTAATTTAATTACTAGATTGGGCCACACTTTTTATACCAGACATTAATTTGAATTTCTAGTTAATTTCTCATAGATTTTGGTTTATTTTGTATTGGTTCCGGTTAAGATTAATTTTGATTTTAATTAATTTTTAAATTTTGTTTAAATCACTGTGGTCACATAAAGATGTGATCACATGGTCGGCTTCGGTGAGCAGCAACATTGCTACTTGAATGATTGTTTGACGCCATGTCTTGTTGTTATGCTTTCAGGTGATTAAAACAGTAAATATCTATATTCTATCATTTTCTAATATCTTTGTATGTTACAAAGTTATGGGATTTTAGATTCATCATCTGGATTTCAAAAGTGAAGAGTAGATACAAAGAAAGGTTGAAGATACAAAGCATAAGCTGAGAGTAGATGCCAACTATACATACAACATTTCCTTTCTTTTAAAAATATTTGCAATGGAGAATATGAAGTAAAATCAGAGGCGCAATAAAGAGAAGGTAACACTTTTGTTGTTGATTTCATCAGATTTCTTGCTTCACTTCATAATCTTGACTTAGCTAATTGTTAGAAGCTTTGATGTCATGGTGAATAATACGTATGGGACAATCATTATGAAGATAACTCAAACCATCAGCTACACCCAAAGCCACTTTATACCGTTTCTTCCAGTCCAAACACTTCTCCTCAGACCCTACAAAAGTTTTTTAAAAACATAAAAACAAAAACAGTGTCTTAGAAGCATTTTTATTCTACTGAAGATTGTACGAACCAAAGAGTAGAGAAGCGAGACTGCCGTGTGGAGCGTACTCTGGCACAAAATGCAAACCGCGATCGGTACTGAAACCGCGAAGCCTAGCTGCGTTTGGATGGTTTACTTGTGCGATCATCCCTAACTCAGACAAGAAATCACTTACTCTTTCTTCTTCTTCCATGGCGTGTCTCATCAGCTTCTTGATAGCCATTTGTCTCTCCGTCTGGTAACACTCCTTTGTACACCTCTGCATGCCCTCCTTTCCCAATCATATTCTCTAACAAAAAAACAAGTACAACAAATCAAAGACCCATGCTAGGAAACACAAAAACAGAACCATTGCGGAATCTAGACAACGCTTAGTGAAACATTGGTTTTCCTTCTTTCTTTTTTTCCATCTATAAATTTTACAGTCGAAAAATTAAGGGAATTGGGGGTTTAAGGTTTTCAAAATCAAGCAATCAAAATTTTTATCTAGAAACAAAGAAAAACCCTTTCGATTTTTTCAATTTGGGAATTAGGGTTTTCAAATTTCAAGTTGCATTCAATCTGTGTATGATATCAACAGGGCCTCACCGATTCAAGTAAATGATGCCGACGATACACAGTGAAGGAGACGGCGGATGTGACCGATACGGTTTCTCGAAAACCTCCGAGTCACCGTTGAGCTACGACGGCAGCATAAGGATATGACGGGGCCGATACACTGTGGAGGAGACCAAATTGAAGAACGACAAGGAGGTCTCAGAGCAGGAGTTGGCGGATGGAGAAGAAGTGTTTGGTTTTTTTTTTTTTTGTTTCTTCTCCGTTTCTTCTGAGTAAACGATGAAGAAGAAGTTTTTTTTTTCCTTCAATTTAAATTGTAATGGCAAATTTGTGGTTAATGGTTAGGAGGTTGGTTGTTTAGTAAATTTGGCCATTTCGAAGTTTACTCTAGTAATTAGAAAGTTATATGAGTTATTTGAGTAATTAGTACTAGTAATTAGTACTAGTAATTACTCTAGTACTAATGATTTGAGTTATTCCAAGTAATTTCTCTTTATTGGTATTCACTTTACCAAAAAACATACTCCCTCTGGATTTAAAAATATGATGTTTAAGGTTTTGCACATATATTAAAAATTAAGTAATTAACTATTTTAGTTATTATTATTTGGTGTAATCAATAAATTTCAACCATTCATAATTTTATCTTTTAATTTAAGTTTAATTTTAAAAATAAATGCATTAATTATATCCTAAAACATCAATTTTTGTATACATGATAAAAATCTAGAACATCTTACATTTAAATACGAGGGAGTACTATAAACTATACATTTTTTGTTGACAAAAAAAATTATACATTTTTTTTTTGCCTTTTTACTTCTTTTTGTGTCTTTTGAAGTTACTACTACTCTCTGTTTAATTATGACTTCGTCTTTTGATATTAAGGAAAGAAAAACAAACAAAATCGACTACACACATCGGTTCACTATAGTATTGATCATTGTGGTAAACCACAAGAAAACATGGTAAGGACTAAGGAGTTGGTATAGTATAGTCTATATACTAACATTATACTGGCTCTGACAAAAATCCTCCAACTTTCTTCCTCAATGACAAAAAAAAATTCAAAACTTTCACTCTTCAAAGATCGGAGACAAATCCAAAACAGAGCAATCTGTGTGAAGCAATCTGCTGCAGGTTTTTGTAAAAGAAGTGGAAAAAGATTACTCATCATCTGATGGCAAAGTCGGGCTTTTTGAGCAGCTTTCTTGCTTGTGAAGTTCCAACATCCTTTTCTCTGGATTACAAAGACCTGCACCAGTTTTCTTTGATCAACCAAATGCTTGTTTATGTTATAGAATTGAATCTTGATCCAAAGACACAACCACACCAAGAGTTCTGTATCACTAGTACTATTTATTTATGTGTTAGGAAACCTGAGCATTTGGGGATGTCCCATACAGCAACAGAGGAAGAAGAACACTCTGGTTCGCAAAGAACGTGATGGTTTTCGTGGTTGACGTTCATTGCTAGCATCCATGCACCTATTGTTACGTCCTCGTTGTTAAACATCCTGAAACTGCACTTGCCCACATTTTTTTTTATTTACAACACAGAGAGAAGAAGACATTATAATATTATTGTCAAGTTATGAAACAGAACTTGCCTGTTATTCTTCAGGGCAACCAAGCTTGCTACGACATCAGAAGAGAGAGCATATATCGGGCCATAAGCATGAAGAAAATATTCTTTTCCCAGCAGATGAGACAATGGTTCATACCTGCAAAATTCCATGTTTTTGATTCCAAAAGCCGAACTCAAAAAATATATATATGGTTCCTCAGTGTTTGTTATTGCCTTCTTACCATTTGAGCTTAGGATCTGTGAAAACTGGACCCTTTTTCAAGCATCCTAAGTATGTTTGAGAGTGACTCCGCTCTTTCGCCAATAGCAGAGAGAGTCGATCTGTGGAGAAAACAAAAAAAGCAGAAGAAGTTCATACAAAGGCCAAGACAATTTTTTTGGTTTGTCCTGAAGACAGAGATCGATCATCAGAGATAACCACCTGGCCTCAAGTATATATCATCATCAGCTTTGACATAGAATTCAGCATCGTAAAGGGCATATGCAGCTTTGAAGAAAGCCAAACTATACAACAACAAGAAAAAGATTAAAGACTTACACAGCCTTTTGGATCATATTGTCAAATGTCAGATGAGATGTGGAGAAAAGAAAAAGAGAGAAGCAAATCACTCTCACTAACGTTTTGTAAGGGAGCTTACTGTACTCCTCTTCTATATCTAGCTGTACAAAGTCATCATACTCTTCAATCTCCCTTCTGAGCTCAGCCATTTTTTGTTCATTCTTGGTCTTTCCTATCACAAACCTAATAGCTAATCCTGTAGATTCCTCCAAGCTGCAAAGAACAATGTTACTAAATTAAAATGACAACACAACTAGATCCATCTATATAGTGAAATTATCTAAGAACCAATGTACTACAGCAAAACAAGAGCTTTGTAATAGTGAAAGCATGCAGGAACCAATGTACCAAAAAAAACAAGAACAATGTAATAGCAGCATGCAAGAACCAATGTACAACTGGAAAACAAGAAACATGTAATATTGAAAGCACCCAAGAACCAATGTACTACAATAACAAAAAAAGATCCATGTACCATGTAATAGTGAAAGCATGCAAGAACCAATGCACTACAGCAAAACAAGTACCATCTACAATGTTATAGTGAAAGCATGCAAGAACCAATGTACTACAGCAAAACAAAAACCATGTAATAGTGAAAGCATGCAAGAACCAGTGTAGTACAACAAAACAAGATCCATCCATCCATCTCCGTTTGCTCAAGAATAAAATAAAAACAAGATCCATCTTATAGTGAAAGCATATCTAGTGAAATGTAAATATCAAAGCGCACTAGTCAGTACCTAATTAGATTCATCTAAATACAAACTCAAGATTCAAAGTAAGATCTCCCATTTGCTAATTCAAATCCAAATCCAAATCAAAACCAATGGCAAGAGAATGCTATATCAAATCAGTACCGTCGAAGACCTTCTGGATCTGACGGCATCCACGTCTTCCTAAGAGCTTGTCTCCGGCCAGTGGATCCGAATCCGGTTTGAATACCGACGAATCCCATAACCTTATGCCTCTTCCCATCGCCAACGCCATTGCTATTACTATTACTATTGCTATTGCTATTGCCAACGACGTCCCAAACGACTCGCACTGTCTTCGGAGGAGAGTTCGTCAAGCAATTACGGCCGGTTAGTCGGAGAGCCGGGAAGAGAATCACGGCCAGTCCAAATGTGAATCCGGCGATTCCTATAGCTAGGGAAGTTAATACGATAAGAGCTGTCGATCGGCGCGTGGCGAGTGATGATCGCGCGTGGAATAACTTACGAGGAGATTGCATTGTGGCGAATCCCCTCAGCTACTACTACACCTTCGTTAATGGCGCCACGCGTTTTCTCTTTAGTGTTCCTTTTTTTGGACAGAGTGTTATTAGTTTTTCTTGTACTTTTCGTCGTAAATATATGAAAACGCTTCTTTTCCGTTTTTAACGTCATTTCTTTTCAGTAATCCAACGTTACATTATTCATACGTGAGAGTGAGACATACAAATCAATATTATTAAAACTGAAAAGTCTTTTTTTTTTTTAATTATCTTAAAATTTAATGTATTTACAATACAATGTTACTGGAATACGTTTAATTTATAATTTTACTTAAATGTTTTATTTGTTTTTCCAGAAATAAAACACTATGATAATAAAATAGTGTGAATCAGTAACGATAAAGAACATTCCAAACAAAAAGAATCAGTTAACCAAATCTTTTTGAGACTACCCCTACCGTAATCTACAATCCCTTTTAATATGTGTACCATCACGAAAATCTTAATAATGTCATATGACATACAAAATATCGGCTACAGAGATGAGGTTTGAATCGAAAGGATGATTGTCATTTTGGTAAAATTAGTGGATCTGAATGGGATGCGGGGATGATGGGGAAAAGCCGAAGGACATTACTGTTCAAAGAAGACTGACAATATTTATGGTGCTTTTTGAAGTCAGATTTGGTCTGTGATCTCTTATTTTTTTCCTTTTAGAATTGCTCAAGATCTTGTGTGAAAACAAGATTTCATTTTTGTTCTCTGGAAACTCCAAAAAGTAACATTCAAATTTTTTTTTTGCTAAAAACATTCGAGTTTTTTTATGGACTTCGATATGATACCCTCCCTAGGGCATCTCCAACCCAACTCCATTTTTTACTCTAAAATGGAGTAAAAGGGAATATGAAGTAGAAAACACTCCAACCCTACTCCATATTCTACTCCATAGTAGAGTTTACTCCATAAATGGAGTAATCTGTTTTTTGTTTGTTCATCACTCCATTATGGAGTGGAAAATGGAGTGGGGTTGGAGCATTTTTACTCCATATTCTCTTTTACTCCATTTTGGAGGAAAAATGGAGTTTTAGTCTCATAACTTTATATTAATCATATGTTTGTTTCCTTACTTCTTTTTTAACACCTGTTTTGTTTCTCTGCTTACCAATGTTTTGAAACTCGACTCAGATCCGCGGTTGAACCGATAAATCCGGTGACCCAGAAAAATTCAGTTTGAATTTTTTGAAAAAAATCAAAATTTAAAACCCGTGAAAACCCATTAAAATCCAAAAAACGATACCAGTTTAACCAATAGATAAATTTTACTTTTTTAGTATTTAATTATGTTTTATATTCTAAATTTCTAATTAAAAAGTTAAATTTTCACATTTCTGTTTTATATTTGTGATTTTTAAATTTTGATGAAGATTTCACTATAACACCTGAAGAAAATGAAGTGAACAATGGTAGAAAAATCAAAATTAGGTGATTTGGTGTTAATTTATTTTTGTTATTGATAATTTATTACAATAACTTTGAAACTTGAAAAGTGATATACACTGTAAATATTTATGTTAGAATTTTGCATACCAATGTATATAGTCTAATATCATTATCTATTTCTCTTTTATAATTATTAGGACTTTCAAAGAACACTAAAATTTGAATAACCAAAGTTTACTTACTCGCATATGAGAATCAGTGATACACAAAAGACTTTTTTTTAAACATCACATTTTATTCAAATGTTAAAATGTGATGTTTAAAAGATCCATATTTTACTTTTTTTTTTAACATCACATTTTATTAACTTTGATGACTGTTTAAAAGATCCATATGGAGGTCATTAGTTATAAAATAAGGAACATAGAAATGATAATAAAAATCCGATTCATTTGGTATAGCAGTTCTAGCAAGACGATCTGCTGCTTTGTTCCCCAGTCTTGGAATCCATTCTACTCGAATCTCCTCAAACTTTTGTCTCCATTTTGTTACTTCTCGAAGCCAATTGTAGGCGTCAAAATGCAGTAGTTTTTTGTTGATAATTCCCACCGCTTTTTTGCAATCACTTTGGAATATAATTTTCTTGTAACCTTTACTCCAGCTATGTTGCATTGCCATTACCAGAGCTTGTATTTCACTTTCCAATGGATTATTAACCTTGTTACCGGTAGCTTGTACTGCACCTCGATAGCAACCATGTTCATCACGAAACACCCATCTAGCTTTACTTGGTATATTCGCATTAACAAAGGATCCGTAAACATTACATTTTAGCCATCCTTCCTGTGGTTTTGTCCATCCGTGTTGTAGTGATGATCTCCCATTTCCATCGCTTCGTCCATCCCTATCATTTGTTCCTGCTATAATTTCTACCCATTCCTTTTGCATCTGTCTTTGCTTGACGAAGAAGTTTTCCCCATGGGATTTCTGTATTCTGAAACACCAATACATTTCTACTCTTCCATAGTCTCCAGAGAATCCAAAAAGGAAGATCTTGAAAATGTCTCATAGTATTTGAAGTACCACATTGAAGACATGTTTCAATTTTCTCTTCCAAAGTTGTTGTAGGGTTATTGATGATCAGATTTGAGAATCCTGAAGCTCTCCATACTCTCTGGGCATAACTGCATTCAAATAGAATATGATGTTCTGTTTCAGTAGCTTGAAAACAACGAGGGCATTGAGCATTCGTAATTATATGTCGCCTTTGAAGATTGTCTTGTGTTGGTAGACTTTTAGAGAGTGTTCTCCAAAGAAAATGTTTGAGTTTTGGTGCAGTCTTTGTTTTCCAGATTTTCCTCTTGAGATTAGGGTCTCCATAAGTTGTTAAAACCATCTGGTTTTGGGGAAGGTGAGTACTTAACCAGTATCCCGATTTGACCGAGTAAATACCATCTTCGTTATAGTGCCACCCCAATAGATCCAGCTGTGCTGTTGAGCAGATTTTGATGGAAAGAACCTTCTGTACATCGTCAGCATGAATACATTCTCTGACTTTGTTCTCATCCCAATTCCTACGATCAAGAGTAAATAATTCACAAACCCATCGAGTATTAGTTCCTATTAGCCGAGGTCTTGGTGCTCTTGGAGGATGTTCCGGCAGCCACGGGTCTAACCATAGATCAACTTTCTCTCCATTACCAATGATGAATCTCAATCCTTGTTTTAGTAATTGTGCTCCATGAATGATGGATTTCCATGCGTAAGACGACTTTCTCTTTATAGTAGATGTTAATATATTGTCATGAGGGAAATACCTCGCTTTGAGTACTCTTGCCATCAAACACTCAGGGTGTTGCAAAATTCGCCATGCTTGCTTTGCAAGCAAGGCTTGGTTGAAATGCTCTAAATCTCTGAAACCTAATGTATGCCAATGTATACATATGCGATCCCATGAATACCAATGTATGCCTTTTTTGTCGCCAGATCCCCACCAAAACTTTGCTAGAACTCCATTTATTTCCTCACATATCTCTTTTGTTAACCGAAATATGTTCATAGAGAAAATAGGCATTGCCAGGGCCACAACTTTCAAGAGGACCTCTTTCCCTCCTGGTGATAGAAATTTCTGTTTCCAGCCTTGAGTAACAGCTTTGACTTTATCCACAATGTATGTAAACATTTCTGATTTTTTTAGTTCCAAACTGTTCCGGCAAACCTAAGTATTTGCCAAGACCACCATCATTGTGTATATTCATGAGATTCCTCATTCTTGTTTTAACATGTTCAGAAACTTGTGATCCAAATGTGATGGCTGACTTTGTAAGATTTATGGCTTGACCCGACACCTTCTCATAGAGCTCAAAAATATGTTTCAGTCTCCTACCAGCTTTTGGGTTTGCTAATGAGAAAAACAGAGAGTCATCTGCAAATAGCAGATGGTTGACTTGTGGGGCTTGTAGAGCAACTTTAACTCCCAGTAACGATCTATCACTCATTGCCTGATGCATCAGGTGAGATAAAACCTCGGCACAGAGGATAAACAAATAAGGAGACAACGGGTCTCCCTGTCTGATACCTCTTTGAGGAATTATATAACCTTCAGGTGATCCATTAATAAGAACTGAAAATGAGACTGTACTTACACAAGTCATAATCCAGTGAATCCATTTCTGGTGAAAACCCATAACTTGCATCGTACGCTCTAAAAAGCTCCATTCAAGTCGGTCGTAAGCTTTAGTGATGTTAGTCTTCACAGCCATATAAGATTTGGCTTGTCTCTTCCGAGCCTTCAGACAATGCATAATCTCATGAGCCACAATGATATTATAAGATATAAGTCACCCTGGGATGAATGCATTCTGATTTTCCGATATAAAGTGGTGTAGATGTTCTTTCAATCTCATAACCAAGATCTTTGAAATGATTTTATAGACTACATTACATAGTTCTATAGGTCTCATTTCAGCCATATTAGATGGTGGGTAAATATTTGGTATGAGACAGAGATTAGTATGGTTTAGTCGATTATCCAGAACCCCTTCTTCGAAAAATCTTGTAACTTCAGCAATAATCTCTTCTTTGATATCATTCCAATGTTGGTGGTAAAAGATGGCTGGGAAACCATCTGGTCCAGGAGCACGTTGAGGTCCAATGTCAAATATAGCACTTTCAATTTCCTCTGGAGTCACTGGTTTGATCAAATCTGCATTGATCTCCTTTGTTATTCTACTCTGAAAACCTCTTAAAGCTTCATCAAAATACAGTGAAGCTTCATTTCTTGTCGTGAAGAGCTCCTGAAAGTAAGTTTCTGCAACCTTAGCAATGTTCTTTTGTCCTCGTTGAACCACTCCATGTTCATTTTGCATGGAAGTAATATGATTTCTGTTTCGTTTCGCCTTTGTTACAACATGAAAATATTTCGTGTTGCGATCACCTGACCTGAGCCATCGAATTCGGCTTTTTTGTTGCCAAAATATTTCCTCTTCCATGTAGGCTTGATTCAGTTCCTCTTGAATAACTGATCTTTCTTGTGTAGTCGTAGTAGAAGCACAAACTGCATCATCCAACCGTTTCCTCAATGAAACAATACGTTCCTCTGCATTGTTTCTATTGTGTCTTTTCCACACTGATATGTTTTGTCTGCATCGGGCAAGTCGTTGCACCAA